TGTTTTGCGCTTTTAGAGCTGGAAACAAAGCCTAGGCCATTCAATCATGTTGGAGTTGACCTAAGTTGAAATATGGTGTTTCTGACTTAGTGAAATCGGTTAACGATGTGCTATAACTATTCTGTGATGAAAAAGTGTATGATGGAAAACAAATGTTTTTCTTACTTAAAAAACTTGTAGTAAGCATTCTCAATATTATAGAGGTACTGCTAATCTTATGTTAGGATGAAGATCATTGGTAAATTTGATGGTCATTTGTTTGTCTTCCTAAAGTTTATCACATCTTGATAAAAGCTCTCCAAATTAATTAATGAACCAATAACTGATTGAGAACCTTTCTCTATAATTTAAAAGGAGCCTTAAATGATATCTTTTATTGTGGAGTGGAATATCTCAGGATTATGTTCATCTCCCAAGATTGAATTGTATTATAGAAATAATTGTATATTGTAAATATTAAGTGAAGTATTCAAGAATGTGACTTCGTCTTGATTCGTATATGTTCGGAATATTTCATGCAAACCAAATATAAGATATAAACTTTAATGATATTTTTTTTTATTTAGGAATCTCGGAACCTCAAGAATTGTTTGATGATTCTTCTCTATTAATTTTGCAATTTCTTCCATATATCTCATCATTCCAATTTCGCATGCCTACTTAAATGTTGAAGGTATCCCCTTTTTTTTTAAATATGAAGGTAGTTTTTTAGTTAGGTTGAAAGGCAAGCCTACCTTAAATGATACCAGGATGATTGAATTGCAAAAACTAGCTCTTCTTCAACTCTCAGATAACTACTTCAATCTTAGCTCTTTGGAGGAGAGTTTGTTGCTCCCAATGAAGTTAACGTAATATAGGCCGTTAACTAGGCTAAACTCGGTGATAATTGATAGTGAATTAAGCTTCTTTTCAAGCCTTTTTAGGCTCCATGTTTATTTATATCCAAAGTACATTTGGTTTCTTTCATTTGAATTATTTTATTAAGTTTTTTATTCTCTTGGACAAGAATATGTTTAATTTTTATGTATGTGAGGATTGGATAGGATTAGATTCGTTTTGTTTTTTGTCAAATGTTTAGGCATCCTTTCTATTCCATTGTATGGGAATCTTATTACTTGATGAATTGAATGAATGCAAATTGCTTGTGGCTAAATGAGTGCTCTTGAGATCCAAGTTCTGTACGAAAAGTTATTTCTCTTACCCCATTTAGTAAATTGATGCTGCCATCGTTGGCAGCCATTAGCAATTGAAGGTGATAATGTTGGTTGGTTTTTATAGACTTTAATTGTAAAAGTGTGTATGGGGTAGCCTTAAGCCTATTCAGGTGCCTTTTTAAATCTCATACGCATAGGAGGGCCGGCCAATGAGGCTTTTACAAGGCCAAGCTAACTGTTAGCTCAACCTTTTTGATGTCCTTAGCTATAACTTTTGTTGTTGGCAATTATTTTTTTTATGCGCGTTTACTATGAAGGAGTATCTTTGATTGATTTATATCTTGGTACTGATGTTGGTGGTATGTATATCCTGGATCATTCCTCCAATGCATCTATATACATGTTTTGTGTGCAAGTAGCATTTTTTATGTCCATAGAGTCTTTCCATGGGTCATCCAAGGGGCCATTTTTTGTTAGGTGCTTGATTGGAAGTTTTCTAATTCTTGGTTCATATAAATCTCAGAAGGGTGTGAAAGAATAACCTTAGAGATGCCTACCTTAAAATTTTCTTGGTTCATATAAACCTCAGAAGGGTGAGGAAGAGTAAGCTTAGAGATGCCTACCTTAATGTTTGGATTTGTTTTATGCAGTTCATCAAATCTGGCTATAATCATGTTGAAATTATTTTCAAGGATCTCAGCTCTTGTTTTATTGGTAGTCATTTAATGTTGCAGATTATTTGCTCTTATGCTGATCTATAGTTTATTTTATGTTTTTTATTTTCCATGACGAATTATCAAATATCTCTCTTACTCGTGGCAAAATCAAATAATCTTATATTATTTCTAAATTAAAAAGACATACAGTGATATTTGAATGGTTTTCAGTGACGACAAGCTTTCTCAACATTAGATAAGCAAGAGCAGTATGCAATAAATGCTCAAACTTGATATGGTGCTTTGACATGCTAATGTGCTTGCTAGATGATATGTCATGAATTATAAACTATCAAGTCAAGGATGCGTTCTCGTTAGTCCACAATGGATCCTTGGCATTATGAAATTGTTTAGGGAGAGGATATATCTTAAATTAGAAGCATCCTTCTTTGCAAGAAATTCCAAAGAAGAAAATAGGTGGTACATGGGTATGTTCTGATCAACCATCATGATTTGTGCTGGTTCTGGTTAGATTAACATCTGGTTTCTTTCTGGGGCCACTTTTTTAAGCTATATTTTTGGTTTAATCTGGTTAGGATTTTAAATCTTCGCTGCCATATTTGGGGCTGGCCTTAGGAATCTTCATGGCCATATGGTGGTGTTAAATCAATTTTGTCTTTTTTCTTTCATAACTCTTATTCATGCTACCTTGATGCTATGCCGGTACTCTCTCATTTAGTAATTAGGATTTAGATCTATGTTCGGGGTTGAGAATTAAGGCATCAATTGGGACTTTTTTTTTAATAAAAAGGACAGGATTGCAGTGGAACGATATGCAGAGAGGATACATGATTTAAGAGTGGATTGGGCTATCCTCTTCTGTTCGAGTTGGAGTTTTGGCTTCAATTTCTGTAGGAGAGCAGGAAAGGATTCATGATGCTTGTGGACTATTTTTTTTCTTTAGGAGGAGAAGAGTATAAAGGAGATTTAAAGAGGGGTAAGATAGGTGGGTCGAAGACAAATTATCTATTATATTAGAAAGATCTTTTGGTACAAGTTCTAAAAGTGTCCTTATAAACAAGAAATAAAGGTTGACAAATGAAGGAAATGCATAGCTCTAGATGCGCACATGTTAAAAATAAAGTAAATAAAGGGTTTAAGAAAGAATGATCATTTTGCTGAACACACCTAATTTCATATATTCCATTAATAGTAATGATTGATTTCCTTATATAGTGCATTGAACTCTTTATGGTTTTGTTTGATGGATTATTTTTTTTCAAATAAATGAAAAGAAACAGTTAGATGAGACTAAGGCATTGTTTAGTAATCATATGTTTTATTGTTCTATTTGAAATAGAATCAGCACTGCTCTCATCAAGAAGGATGAGGAGGAAAGCACGCCTTGTGTTACACTTACAACCACCTCTTCCTTTTTCTTTGTATTACCATTACAACCTCATTATGCTGGATTCAACCCAATTCTTCCTTGTAGTGCTTAAATGATCTGAGGTAATATTGTCTTTAAACAAAAGGGTTAAATTACAAAATAGTCCCCCAACTATTCGGATGTGGCCAAATCCAAAAGTTTGTAGTGCTACAATTTGGTGCCCCAACTTTTAAAAATTGATGCCATTTGATCATTTAGAGACTGAATCGACATCAATTTTGTATAGCTGATGAACGACATTGAGACATTTTTTACATCATAATTTCTAATGAGAGACTAAGTGAGATCAATTTTTAATACTCGGGGGACTAAATTGAAGCACCGCACAATTTTGGGACTAATTTTGTCACATACAAATAGTAGGACTATTTTGAAATTTATTCTTTAAATGAAATGACAAAGTAGACAAGTGGGGTTGCCTTGGTACGTATTGGTGGGCCACTATAGAAGAAGTTGAGGGAATATGTTTGCTACTTAAAACTGGTTTGTTAAGCAGGATCACTCAATCAAATCAGTTTATACTAGTTCGCTGTCTATGAGCATATTAACTTATTGTTTAACTCTCCTTGGTTCAAAATAATTTAAGGCTGGTTTTTCTCACTTCAGTTATTGATAAGTATTAGGATTTAAATGAAAAAAAAATTATGAAAATTTAAAGGACCTAAATGAGCTTTAGGCAGAGAAAAATGCAAAGGTGGTTTGAATTGAAATTTGAGTTGGAAGGCATCCAATGGTGACGACTGATAAGCTAGTTACAAAGAGGACAACAAAGATCGCACAGAAAACAACAACGGGTTTCTATTAAGGTCCATCTAAATTATAAAGTATTCCTCTATTTAAATTTACTGTTGAAACTGTCATTTTGTTTGTTGAAGTAAAATCAATCTCAACCTAGGATGCCAAAACCACAACAAAAATAATAATATTATTGTTGAATTTCAAAGATTATAGTAGGCCTCATTTAAACAGGAAGTAAATGACAAAAAAACAACAACACAAACATAAAGGCACAATACAAACTCCAAAAAGGGTTGTGGAATTATAAAATGTATCTTCGGGGTCGAGCTACAACCCGAGCACCACCCGAACTCTTGGATACGGTCACCACCTCAGACGAGTTACAACCGGAGCATCTTCTTGCAGTCGAATACAACCCCGTAGATGAAGAATGCCTCAAAAGCAACACTCGGAAATCTACAATTATACCCATCTCCTTTCATAAGCAAAAAAACATCCCCTATATATAAGAGAGATTGGGAATTATATTAGAAATACTTTCAATTAGGAAATATAATAAAAAGGAAGTAATATAATAGGTAAAGATTTATAATAGGGGATTTCATGAAAAGGGAATGAAATAGAAATGACAGTCATAAAATAGGCTGGAAATAAAACAATAGAATCATAGAAAATAAAAAGAAGAGAGAGAGAGAGAAGGAAAAAAAGAAGGGAGGAAATTTGGGCTGTGGCACTGTGTAGCAGGCCACATCACTGTAACTGCTACAGTGCCACGACCAGAAAAGGCTCCCACGTCACAAATTTTGATATATTTTATATATCATAATCAAAATATTAGGTGTTCTATCCCTAAGAGTTTTTTTTCTTCGTAATCTGCAAAATGCATTATGAAGATTTATTTTAGCAGCTTACTATAATCTAGTTATGATTGAGATCTAGCTGTTCTGTTAAATATTATTCTCATTCTTACATGCATAACAATTTATATTTCTTTCTGATCAGTAATCGTGTGAGATGGAACGAGGCAAACTTGCATGAGATTGAATCAAATAAACCTGTGAGGCAGAAAATCACTGAGCCCAAGACACCATACCACCCCATGATTGATGAAGATGGTATTCCTGCTTAATTTTTTCATTCTACTGTTCTTTAGTAACGAGTAAAGTGCCAAAATAGGCAACTGAATATATATGTGCTTAGAGTCTATAAAAGTGTTAAATTAGTCCTCGGACCTTTTTAATATGGGCTGAAATGATTCTCAAGGAGAACTATGCTAGTCCCCTTCAAAGGTATTTGGGGACTGAGACTTTATAGACTCTGGTATTAAAATGACTCCAGACAAAGAGTCAGGCGACCATTTTGACACTTTATTCTATTATGAATTCTCTATTTGAATAAATCAAAACTTTAGTAGAGTTTCTGTTGTTTATATAGGTTCTTCATCACCAAGATGTGCTTTTGATGATTGTATTGATGGTTCTGTTGATGCTGAGGATGTTGCAAATGCTTTGACTAATGTGGCTTCATCGAGTAATACAATTTCTAGGAATGAAGGCTGGACTTCATCAGAAGAAGAATGTGATGCCATGGAAGAAGATGAAGGTCATTATTCTTTTACTATTTTTGTCTTCATGGTTTGCTAAATTAGGCTGTTTGATTTTTTGAAAATTTATGTACATAACGCTCAATTCCTAAGTATTTACATATTTAACATCTAAACTTCAATTTTTACCTACATACCACTTTACCTATGCATGAAAAGGTGTATTTCACTTTTTAAAAGTTAAAATGGTGGAATTTTTTATGTGGGATGAAAGATCTAGGAGGTATAAATGTAAAAAAGAAAATTTTAGGTTAGATATGTAAATGCATAGGAATTTGGTGGTATGTATGTAAATTTCACTTGACTGCTGACTTCTTTTGCTTCCATAGCAACCCTATTATTTTTCTTTAGATCTTTTGTCTTGCTGAGGTCTCAAAATCTCTTCTGATAAGTTTATGAATGTCGACTTTTCTATTATTTTTGTTAAAATGCTAACAAAAATTTATTGTCATACATTGACAACTTCATTGATGGGATCAGTTCCCAAATGCATGTACTAATTTTTTAGTGAAATGCTAATTTCGAATTTTTGAGTGGTATGTAAATTGATTGGAATCCGAAGCTGATTGTTTTAAAACACTCGGGCTATTTTGGTTTACTGAAAAAGATGCAAGTGTTAAAAGAATGTATTGTATTTAAAATATTTTAGAATCATTTCGTTCAGTGTAAAATAAATACAAAACTTTGTATTTTCTTGTTTGGTTTAAAGAAAAATGAATTCAATGTAAAACAAATCCGTTAAGGTTGGCGGTGGCTGGTGGATATAGGGACCAGCGGTGGCGGCTGCGATGGGTGGCCGGTTGCTGCAGAGGCGGGTAGCTATGTCATTTTACACAAAACAATGAATCTTATGATTTACGAATACATTGAAAATAAGCTAGCGATTGAATTTCAAATACTTTGGAATTTTATATTGTATTTGTTTCTCTTCCTACCAAATGCTCAAATTTTTAAAATCTCTGCAAAAATAATGCAATGCACTTCTTTTGATGCCGACCGAAAGCCCCTATTCTATTCTGATAATCTCTAGCGTATTTTATTTTTGTCAGATCCTGAAGCTCAAAGAGGAAACTTAAGCTTCAAGGAGCACCGCCGTGTTCACTACGACGAGTTCCGGAAAGTCAAGGAGCTTCTGAGATCAGGCTCTCTTCTTATCGAAGACGAAGAAGAAGGTGGAGGAAAGCAGTGTCAAGAAAAAACTTCCCCAGAGCCTGGGAAAGGAAGAGTTCTACCATGATTGATCTTGTGACAACTTAGCACCACCAAGTTTCAGCTCCTCATAACTCTCCTGTTTCTATTATTATGCCTTCTCACAAACAGCTACATGCGTGAGAAGCTTAACTGAGCTTCAATGAAGCTGTCTGTCTTCTTTTATTTCTCTTTCCATTTCAGACTTAGGTCGCATAATATTTCTCTCCTTTTGATGCTACTGCATCCAGGCTGTGTTCTAAGGGACCGTTTGGTTGTTTGAAATTAAAATATACAATAATTTGCAGAATAATGAATTTTTTGGGCTTGTATTTATTTTTATTTTATCCATATTTTTTGAATATTTTTAAATGTGAAGATTTTATTTATTTTTCATTTTTAGAAAATTAATTTTAATTTTTACATTCATTATTTTTCAAGTTATATTTATCTATTTGCTAGCTATTAAATGAGGCCCAAGACAATTTCTTTGGGAAGATAACAATTTTTTTGGATGATTTACTAGCATACCACTTAATTCTGATGTACATATACGCCTGACACTTAAATTTTTTATTGTATTTGTTGTGGTATATATGAAATATAATGATCGACGAAGCGAAAAAAATAGAATGAGGAAAATTCACACCAGAAAAGAACACACAGAGTTACGTGGTTCGGTAAAAATGCCTACGTTCTCATGAGCAGAGCGGCGAATTAACTATTTCAGAGTCCAGTACATACCCATAGTGTTACACATACATATATCTAACATATTTACATGGAAAGTTATATTTCATTTTTAAAAGTTATTAGTAGGGGTACTTTTGATGTGAAACTTTCCTAAATATCTAGGAATTGTGTGATATGTAAATAATGTTAGATGCTTAATATTTTATAAAAGGGTAAGCATTCTTCATATTTGTTAAATATTGGGAGAATTACTTCTTTAATTTTCTTATGAAAAATGGGGTCTTGTTATATTTATTTTCTATAATTGATCATTATTTCCTTGGTTGGGACAATAAAATTTGGTTCTACCAATTTGATCAAAATCTAAAAAATTATGATCCAAAAATCATTCTAATTATTTTTTTAATTATAAAATAAAACCAGAAAAGAACACACAGAGATATATATATTCCAAATGGAGTTGGGGGAATGTATGATCCGAGAAATTTTGAGAGCCAAATTTGCAATTTTATGTTTCTACCTAACCTAAGCTCAATCTTTTTTTTCGCAATATTGTAGAGCAAGTTGAAATCTCTTTTCTAAAGATTTACAAATATGGTGGCTAATAGTGAAATAAGATTATGTCTAAACCTAGAAAAAATATTACATCAGGACTCCTAACGCAGAGCTACGTTTAGAGTCCAATGAAATGACGCGACGTGGAGGTGACAGATAAATTAAAAAAATCATTTTAACGCAGGAGAATATTCCGTTAGTATTATTCTGCATTATTCAGGTGTTATTGTGGTGATATTCATGTGTTATTATGTTCTGGAAATATTACTGGTGTTATAATAACACAATAACACATCAATATCACCACAATAACATCTGAATAACGAATAATAACACAGGAGGAATATTCTTCTTAGTTATCGAGTCGGATCACAGGAAAGTGCGCACGTTTCCTTGAAGTCATGTGTCCGCATATCAGTGGACTCCAAACATAGTTCTACGTTAAGAGTCCTGATGTAATATTTTTCCCTAAACCTAGGTGGATAATTGACCCCTTTGGAATTTGTAATTTATCTAACTTTATCTAACTATATATATATATACATATAATAAAATTTAATATTTTTTTCTTGTGTAGCTTAGGCAATTAAATAATTTTATCATGCAATGCATTCTCAAATCATTGGAGCTCAAATAAAAAAATGACACATGGAAATGCGAAGCTGACGTGGAGGCTGACTCTACACATGGTTATAAGAAAATAAATTCTATTTATTAAATTAAGAAAATTTAAATAGAGATTTCAAAATTAAAGGAAAAAATAAAAATATAAAAGTAAAAAGAAAAATGCCTTAGAATTAGTAAAACGCGAGGAATAAAATAAAATAATAATAATAATAAAATTATCAATAATAATTTATTAATTAGAAAAACCATTAAATCATTAATAAGTCGTTAAAAACCCAAATTAAATTAAAATTAAATGAAATTCGACACACTTGTAGTCACTGACTATAGTGTGATCCCATAATTTTTCCAAGGTCACAAACTAACAAATTAATAAGAAATTGCAATTTCTTTTGAAATTTATAATTAAATTGAAAATTAAATAAAATAAAAAGATAAAATTCATAAAAATACAAAAAATCACTTTGAAATTAAAGAAAACAATAAAAACAACTAACCTCTACAATGAAATAGTGGTGGCATCTCCTAGAATTCAATAAACCATTTACTTCAAACTTTTTTATTTTCAAACCCTTATAAAACAGAGAATGACAATTTGAAATTTGGATGATATGATTTATGGAACATGTGAAATAAAATGTTGAAATAAATTTGAATTTGAACATCAAAATTGCATAGAAGGGTAAATTTGTAATTACTTAAAACATGAAAAGTTGCATTTTATTGAAGTCCCAAATTAATGCAAATCAAGGTGCAAACCATTAATCCACTATTTAAAACATTTCAGGAGAATTTCATAAAATCCACAAGCCAAATTAATTGACAAAAAAATTAATTGAAATTGAAGAAATTACAAATCTACCCTTGAAGTTAATTTAGATGTTTTAAAAACTTAAAAATTTTTAAATCTTATTAAAAACATTAATAAAATGACAAAAAAGGAATTGAAAAATAAAGTTCAAGTATTTAAAAATAAATTTTGGCATATTAGTGACAATTTTTAAATAAAATACAAATATTTGTTGTTTATTGTTTAGCTTAATAGATGGAATCATTAAAATTAGAAAATTCAAATCACTGATTCAAATAAGTTATTAATAGAGAATAAAATGTAATAATTTTTTTTTTTATTTCAAATGAAGTAGTCTAAGTCAAAAATAATAATTTTACAAATATACCCTTATTAACATAAATCCCCATAACTTTTAAAAAAAATCTAAATTGAATGATATCCTTACCAATAAATCAAGTAAACAGGAAGAAATCAAGATATTCAAAAATATTTTTCATTAAATATACTTTATTTTATTTTTCAAATAAATAACTCATTTAATAAAAAATATAATTCATAAAAGTTCCAAAAGAACATAAAATTACTTGAAAATTTTAGAGGTTGTCTAGAATATGATTCTAAGCATCTCTGTAAAATTTCAAGGGTTTTGGTGGTCATTTGGCTTTATTATGAATTATGAAATAAAAAACATCCTAGGAAATCAAATAGGTGTTATAAATCAATAAAAATTCAAAGCTTCATGAAATTTTAACAGAATACTTTTGAAATAGGTCTGCCTAAATTTCAGATAATTGTTTTGTGTTTTTTCCTAGATTTTTGTTAGGTTTATTAAGAATGAAATTTATTTATCCAAACTAAATAATTATAATATATTTTTTAAAAATTAATAAAATTTGTAAAGAAAACCAAAAATAAGGAAATCATTGCTTTCACATCTTATTAAATTGAGTAGAAACCTCTTTTCAATTCAGAAATAACCATGAAAAAATCATTTTAGGCATATGTAATCCATATAGCTTCTATTCCTTGTCTTCAGATTTTCGCTCATTGCACGGAAAGGATTTGTTCTTCTAGGGTCACCACCATATAGAGTGAGCCTGCATCTGCATATTAATTGGTCTTATGAACAAATTTTGTGAGCATTCATCATCAAAAACTTGAATACTTATACGCAGCTTGTGTGACTCACTCGTCACTAAGAATTAACAAAAAATAATAAGTACTTGAGTTTGGTGAGCTTTCAAATTTAAAATCTAAATTTGAAAAATTATATTCTTATTTGTTTTAGGACAATGCAAATATCATTCATACTTAGACATCTTGATTTTTATAATCAAGTTGCAAAACAGGTTTCTTCTAATAAAAAAAAAACCCATCTTATCTTAGATTCAATGAGAATGAACTTGCATGATTTTATTGTGATTAGGTGGTTTAGTTGGTTGCACTTTCCAGATAGGGTTGTAAGTCTATTCAATTTATTTTTTTGTTGTGGTTTCTCTTCCTCCAGACTAGGTTTATGAGGTTTTACTTCTTTCAAAAAACCTCACTTTAGTGTTAGGATTTTGAGGTTGTTTGTCAAGTTACGACATAAATCATCACTTCTTCCGATCATATTCTGTGTGATATAAGTCTTAAATTTCTAATAAAATGTCAAATGAAATACCAAATTAATCACATTTAAAATCACTAAAGCCAAACAATAGGATAGTTGAGATTTCACTGAATTTTTTTAAATATTTTTATGCCTCCTAATTTTTTTCTTTGGGGTTTTTAAATAAAAGTTCCACTTTTGAACTTTCCCATTTGATATTCCAACAATCAATCATGGAAACTAAAATTAGAAATTCTTTGAGACAAAATCACATCCTTAATCAAGAGTTTTCTTAAGATGTAATTAACTAAGAGTTTTTGTCGAAATAGAAAACCCTAGATTAATCTAAACACCAACTTGTCTTTGGATTAGATTTGGAAAAGATTTGATGGTTTAATTATAGACCTTACAAATATCCTAAATTTCTTTATTTGAATAATTAAACCCGTCATAAAATGATATGTTTTTTCTTTCAAAATAATATATTACTTTTAATAGTGTGTTCATTGATTTAAATAATTAAAAATTCAAAATATGTTCGGTCCCCATATAAACATAAAATAAAACCAACAGGGAGCTTTTGGCCATCTCCAGTATAATTGGAAATGTTGAGTGATTAGGTCTTCCCTCAGGTCGGCTTTTTAGTGGTGGTTGGCTCTAATATCTTGTTATCTCATTTTTGATCAAATGCTTTGAACTTGGATCATTCATTTTTATTTTTTCCCTCCTTGTGGCTCTATCGGCTCTGACCTTTATAGCTTTGGCTTGAATGATTGCACTTGATTAAAAATGTGGGCCTCACATTCTTCTATCGGTATACCAGCCCTTATTGTACTTTTATCTTATGGACTATTAGATCTCATCAGGATCAGTGCTAACACATTTTTTTTTGTACATATCTTATTTGCTCGATTCTCTTACTCTTTGAAGCTGACACTGCGATAAGAGTAATAAAATTTAATGCAAAAAACACTTCACATTTATTTTTATTCAACAACTCAATAATTAATTTAGCTTGATTTATGCATGCTTATCCCTATAAATAACGTGTGATGAGACTCTTTGCATTTCATATTTGTTTTGCATCTCTTCTTGTTTGAATTGATCAATTTTTT